TCCTTGGCGTGTGCGTAGAGCTTTTCGCCGTCAAAGTCCACCCCCTCCTTCAGGCGCACGGCCGCCATCCCGACCTTCCCCTCGTGCCCTGGAACACGGAGCACAACACGTCGGGCTGTGTCTCCACGGGGTGCTTCACGGTGTTACGCGCCACACGGGCATTAGCTGGCACGGGTTCACCTTAGCTCTTCCCACGCTGCCCAGATACGTGTGCGTAGAGCTTTTCGCCGTCAAAGTCCACCCCCTCCTTCAGGCGCACGGCCGCCATCCCGACCTTCCCCTCGTGCCCTGGAACACGGAGCACAACACGTCGGGCTGTGTCTCCACGGGGTGCTTCACGGTGTTACGCGCCACACGGGCATTAGCTGGCACGGGTTCACCTTAGCTCTTCCCACGCTGCCCAGATATCGCGTGAAGGAGCGACTAGCGCAGGGGCGGGCACTAGCCTCTCAGTGGGCCAGATGTGGCTTGCCTAGACCCCTTAGCAAGTTGCCTGGGAGCCCCGGGGAAGGTGCGAGCCATTGTCATAGGAGCGGCTGAAAGGGCTCGCAGCTCTCGGTCCCGCTGGCCCTTTGCCTGGGAGCTGCCCAGGAGGCGTGAACCCTTTCAACTGCTTCTGTTCAAAGAGCTTGTGCCTCCGGGCAGCTGCCAGGCCACAGGTGGGCAGCAGGGCCGGGATCTGCCAGCCATGCAGTGTGAATTCTAAGCCTCCACCCCAGACAGCTCTGGGAGGGGGCTCAGCCCCGGCACCTTCCCCTCTGCTCCAGGTCCCTTCCATTGGCCAGAAGTCAGAGGGGAGGGACCCGGGCCAAGCAACACTCCCGGTAGCGGAGCTCTCAACCCTGCCCCTTCTACCTGAGGCCCCGCCCCTTCCGCTCAAGGCCCCACCCATTCAACCTAAAGCTCCGCCCCTTCCACTGGGAGCTCCGCCCCTTCCACCAAAGCTCTGCCCCTTCCGGGTAGGCCCACGGCCACTTCCAAAATTTGTGAAGTGGCTCCCCTTCCAAAATTATTGCCTGCCCCCCTCAGAAGCTGAAGGCTCCGGTTTGATTATTCCTAGAAGGAGCTGTAGATGGCTTTTCAGGCCACCCTGCCTCATTCCCTGAATAACACTGTGATTTCTGCTGTGGCGAGAGCTAGTCCTCCATGTTTTGCACACACTTTTTTAATCCCAGGGCCTTCTCTCCTCCTCCCACCCCCAAAGATAGACTCAGATCCTGACAGACACACCATGCAATGGCTTTTAAAAGCCAGCTCCCAAAAAGGACGCTCCTGCGGTGAGCACCAGTGTCAAGGTGAAATCATTGAGGTACGCACCTGGGACCGGCACCCCGTACACATTGACTTCCTGAATGAACTCCACCGCCGCCAGCGTGGTCTCCACCTCCGTCGTCGCCACATTCTCCCCTTTCCAGCTGAAGGGAGAGAGAGCAGCCCCTCATAGATTCACAGCGCTCCGGGCCAGAATGGAGCCTTGTGATCTTCTAGGCCGGGGTTAGCAGCCTATGGCTCTCGAGCCAAATATCATAGAAACAGAGCTGGAAGAGACCTCAGGATTCATCAAGTCCAGTCTCCTGCCCAAGGCAGGACCAATCCCAACTAAATCAACCTGGCCAGGGCTTTGTCAAGCCGAGACTTAAAAACCTCTAGGGATGGAGATTCCATCCCCTCCCTAGGGAACCCATCCCAGTGCTTCACCACCCTCCTAGTGAAATAGCTTTTCCTAATATCCAACCTAGACCTCCCCCACTATAACTTGAGACCATTGCTCCTTGTTCTGCCATCTGTCACTATTGAGAACAGCCTGTCTCCATCCTCTTTGGAACCTCCCTTCAGGTAGTTGAAGGCTGCTATCAAATCCCCCCTCACTCTTCTCTTCTAAGGGTACGTCTAGACTACAGGCTTTTTTCGGCAGAAGTTTTGTCGACAGATACTGACGACAAAGCTTCTGTCGACAAAGAGCATCTAAACTACATCCAGTTCTGACGACAAAGCAAGCCGCTTTGTCGACATGATAGTATAGATGCAAAGGACAGTGTAGATGCAATAACGCCTTCTGTTGTCCACTTTTGTCAACAAAACCTGTAGTCTAAATACACCCTGGCTATGTCTAGACTGGCAAGGTTTTCCGGAAAATCAGCCGCTTTTCCAGAAGACACTAACAGCCCCACTGCTGAATACACCCTGGCTATGTCTAGACTGGCAAGGTTTTCCGGAAAATCAGCCGCTTTTCCAGAAAATCTTGCCAGCTGTCTACACTTGCCGCTTGGCCGCTTGAATTTCCGGAAAAGCACTGACGATCTCATGTAAGATTGTCAGTGCTTTTCCGGAAATACTATGCTGCTCCCATTCGGGCAAAAGTCTTTTTCCGAAAGAATTTTGTGCAAAAGGGCCAGTGTAGAGAGCACAGTACTGTTTTCCGCAAAAAAGCCCCGATCGCGAACACTAAGTTCTAGTGTTCTATGGTTCTATGAGACTATGAATTATCAATAATATTAAGTTATATATTTTCAGACATGCAACTGGACATTCTTCTATGGCTCTTTGTTGGCCACTTATTCGGAATTTTGATGAAGTTTGGCTCTTTGCTTGGAAAAAGTTGCCAACTCCCTGTTCTAGGCTAACCTCCCCTGTAGTGAAGCTTAGAAGGTCAGTGGTGGTACCCCAATCAAGGAACAAACACGCACCCACAAACTCACGAAAAAAAATATTTCCCTCCCTAATGATCTAAATGTGCACATGGATGAAGTTTAAAAAAAAAATTGCTGCTGATTAGAACCAAACCCCATTCATGCAGACTTTGGAATCAGACTAGTGGAAGAACAGGAAAGCCAATTCTTTGCTGAGTTAAGGACATTTCCTTTGCCTCGTGTGGCATGAGATGTAGATCATTTCTCTTTTAGTGGCTTATCACCTTTTAACTGTTTTGAACCTCAACCTCTTCTGACACTGAATAATTGTCTGACCCTCTCCCAGCAGGATTTTGGGCAGCTGTGAACATTTAAATCAATCCACCTCTAAAAAAAAAGTCTCAGAAAGAAACATTTGTTATCATCTAGTGAAATTATATTATAAAAAATCAATTTCTGTCAATCTCTCTAAGGCCACATCTCCACTTACCAGAGAATCAATGCTCTGGTGATTGATCTTCTGGGGTTTGATTTAACAGGTCTAGTAAAGACCCGCTCAGTGGAATGCTGAAGGCTTTTCTCCCATCGACCTCCCACTGCGCAGCTCGGCTTAAGGCACACAGACTCCAGCTACGTTATTTACATGGCTGGAGTCGTGTACCTTAAGCAGACCTTCCCCCCGCAGTGTAGACCCGTCCTATGGTTGAATGCTTTCTGTTGGCAAACCCCGTGTCTCCACCAGGGGGCGCAGCTGTCATTGCTATACCAGGCACATGTGATCGTGTAGTAGTGCAAGTCACTTTCCATAATAAATCTAAGCTCCTCATAAATATAGCAGTGGGGGATACTATTCCGGTATCCTGGAAAAGCAATGCCGCATCCAAGGAACGCGTCTGCATTGGAATCTCTCCTGATCAGTTAAGCTTACAGGGAACTCTGGGGAGCGACTGCCCTTTATGATTCCATGTTTCTGCTGGTTCTCAGCTAGACACTGAACATTTTTTTCCAGATCCATAGCTTCCCTCTCTTTCTGGGGTTTCTCTCTCTCTCTCTCTCTCTCTCTTTTTTTTTTTCTTCAAAGGACAATCACAAGGCCCCTTTCATCAGGGGTCAGGGTCTGGTGCTCACATTCTCCACCAATTGTGGCCCATTGGGGTGCACCCCGGGGAATAAGAGGTGTCCCCCTGAGGGTCAGTGGATGGCCATTCCTACCCACTACACGCAATTCCAGTCCGAGCAGTTCATGACCCAGCCCTACTGCAGGGCAGGGCTGCAGTAAGGAAGCAATTAGGAAGCCAGTCCAAATGCAGGGGAGGCTAGCACAGTTAAATGGTCAATAATTAAACAGCTAGAGGCCCAGCCCTAGAGCACAGCAAGGTCTTCACACAAAACAAGCCAACCTGTTCACAGCCAATAAGCCGCGGTAAGTAGTCTGTCTCCTTGGTCAGAAGGGATTCAGGCACTTTGCCTGTGGCCACAAGCCGCAGGAGGGGAGACTGCCACCCAATCAAGGGGTGGCAGGGGGAATGCGGGCCCTCCCTGCACCACCGCGCCCCAGCCTAGGGCCCTAATAGCAGCCGGTAGTCAGCTGCTAGGTCAGCAGGGATCCAGTCCAAAACTCACTGACCTGTTATGTCGGGGTCGGAGGGGGGTCCACGCAGCAGCCCACTGACCCTTGGCCAGACAAAGGTCGGCTATCCCTGGGCCAGCTCCAGTTCTCCCCTCCGTACCTGGCTCCGTGGCAGGGCCTCCAGCCTGCACGGGTTGGGAACCTCCGGCCACAGCAGCAGGCCCGCTTGGTCATCCTCCGGAGGCCCAACTGGCCTTACAGGCAGTCCTTTTATATCCCTAGCCCCGCCCCCTGGCTTCCTCCCAGGTGAGTCATCCAGGTGAGCTCAGGGATGGGCGATTCTCCCTTGGGGTCAGTAGGTGGCCACTCCAACCCACTACAGGAACTTACCGGAATGTGTCTCCCACCCGGTCCTGGAAATAAAGGAAGCCCTCACGGTCCACCATGAGGAGGTCTCCACTGTTGAAGTAGACATCCCCCTTCTTCAACACGTCCCTCAGGACCTTCTTCTCCGTCTTCTGACGGTCTCCCGCGTAGCCGTGGAAAGGAGACGCTTTCGTGATCTTCCCCACCAGCAGCCCCGGCTCACCTGGAAGGGAGAAGGAGAAGCTGGGTGGGTGTCTCCCCTATGGAGCACTGCTTTTGGAAGAGAAGGACTCCATTTTGGAGGGGAGAAAACTCAGAACCATAGAACACTAGAACTGGAAGGGGCCTTAAGAGGTCAAAGAGTCCAGTCCTCTGCCCTTACGGCAGGACCAAGCACCATTGAGCATCCCTGACAGGCGTCTGTCCAACCTGCTCTTGCATATCTCCAGGGATGGAGATTCCACAACCCCCCTAGGCAATTTATTCCAGTTTTTAACCACCCTGACAGGATGTTTTTCCTAACGTCGAACCTCAGCCTCCCTTGCTGCAATTTAAGCCCATTGCTTCTTGTCCTGCCATCAGAGACCAACGAGAACAATTTTTCTCCCTCCTTCTTGTAACACCCTTTTAGATACTTGAAAACTGCCATCATGTTCCCTCCGTCTTCTCTTTTCTAAATTAAACAAATGCAATCCTTCAGCCTTCCCTCATGTTTTCTAGACCTTTCATCGGTTTTGTTGCTCTTCTCTGGACCTTCTCCAGTTTCTCATCTTCCCTGAAATGCAGAAAGGAATCTAGGGGTTTGTAGAGTATCAGAGGGGGAGCCGTGTTAGTCTGAATCTGCAAAAGCAGCGAGGAGTCCTGTGGCACCTTATAGACTTAACTGAAGTGTAGGAGCATAAGCTTTCGTGGGCAAAGACCCACTTCGTCAGATGCACATGCACTAACTTCAGTTAGTCTATAAGGTGCCACAGGACTCCTCGCTGCTTTAGGGGTTTGTAGGGGAGCCTGGACAACCCCATCTTCACCAGAATAAGAATGTTTGTGTTGTCCGGCCCTGCCTTAACCGGACTAGCAATGGCTGCCTTGACCAAAGCGTGGCTTCTAACAAAGCAAACCAGGCCTGATTCAAGCCTAGTGCTATGTAGGCCAGGCCGAGGAGGGGTGAGCTCTGAGAACCAGGAGTGCTTTATACAATAGTGCGATGGGAGTATTGGTATAGAGCAGGCGTGGTAGATTTTGCTAGAATGACCAAGTCTCGTAGGTGTAGAAAAGGTAATCGGTGGGAGGGATTAGGTAAGAGGTCCCTACTACCTTACTCACTGCAACTAGAAGCTGTGCCTATTCCTAACGACTGATGCATTGTGGACATCTCTGTGCGTGGGGAAACGAGGCCACGACCTCCTGTCTGACAATCATCTGACAATCGTAAGGGTCTTAGCGGTGGAACTGTGTGTGATTGATAGAAATAAGTACACGTATATCCCTATCCTTAAAATCAAGTATCTTGGGTATTGCCCTAGGTGTAGGTGTTATATTAGGGTATGTCGACGGAGCCATGTAGATGAGCTGCGTCGACATAGCAAAATGAAGCGGCGATTTAAATAATTGCCGCTTCATTTACATCAAAATGGCTGCCGTGCTGAGCCGATCAGCTGTTTGTCGGCACAGCGCGGTAGTCTGGATGCTTGGCGGTCGACATCAAAAACCTGTGTTGACCACCCCGTTATGCCTCGTGGGATGAGGTTTACTGGGGCGGTCGACAAAGGCTTTTGATGTCGACCGCCGAGTGTCCAGACTACTGTGCTGTGCTGCCAAACAGCTGATCGGCTCAGCACGGCAGCCATTTTGATGTAAATGAAGCGGCAATTATTTAAATCGCCGCTTCATTTTGCTATGTCTACAAAGCTCATCTACATGGCTCTGTTGATGGAGCCATGTAGTGTAGACATACCCTTATTTAAAAAATTAATGGAGATTGCCTATCTCCTAGAGCTGGAAGGGACCTTGAAAGGTCATCAAGTCCAGTCCCCTGCCTTCACTGCAGGACCAAGTACCATCCCTGACCAATTTTTGCCCCAAATGGCTTCTGCAAGGATTGAACTCACAACCGTGGGTTTAGCAGGCCAATGCTCAAACCACTGAGCTATCACATCCCACTGTGCTAATCAGCCTGTGTATTGAAATAGATCTATGTAACCTTGCACTGCTTTCCTTTACTATTCTGTGTATAATAAAGTTAACAGGAGTTTATCTGAGGTGTTTTTATTGGCACCTTTTGTATCCAAAAGCCGAACCACACGACAGGGTCACAGTGGACCACAAGCTAAATATGAGTCTACAGTATGAAACTGTTGCAAAAAAAGCAAACATGATTCTGGGATGCGTTAACAGGTGTGTTGTGAGCAAGACACGAGAAGTCATTCTTCTGCTCTACTCTGCGCTGGTTAGGCCTCAGTTGGAGTATTGTGTCCAGTTCTGGGCACCGCATTTCAAGAAGGATGTGGAGAAACTGGAGAGGGTCCAGAGAAGAGCAACAAGAATGATTAAAGGTCTAGAGAACATGACCTATGAAACTGAAAGAACCGGGCTTGTTGAGTTTGGAAAAGAGAAGACTGAGAGGGGACATGACAGCGGTTTTCAGGTATAGTCAAAGCACCTTTGAATCGGGAGACGCTGCCACTGCTTTTCCCTTAGGGCAGGTCTCTGAAGTGCCAGTCAAAGACACTAACCACTGCACCCTGCTCCCTCCCCCCATCAGCACCCCCTGGGGGCCCGGCCTTTTATTCTTACCGGGGGGGACTCGGATGCAGAGCCCTCTCTCGTCTCGCACGGGTTCGTCCTGCTCCACGTCGTACCGGACCAGCTCGAATGGGGCGAGCATCTGGAGAGACCGGGGATGACAAAGGCGGATGTCAGCTGGGAAAATGACGCCAGTGCCAGTGACCCAGCCAGGGAGCCCATAGAGTCCAGCGACCTGACCCACCCAACGCCCTCCCCCTTTATGGCACATAACTTGCCATGTCAGGATGCAGCTGCCGGAGCCTTTTGCAACATTTCCCGCACGGTGCTCGTTTGCTCCGTGCGCCAGCATCAGTCATGGGAAAGCGAGGCACTTTTTAAAGCCCTACTAGGCAGGGTTCCTGGCCTGTCCAGAGTCCGTCTCGCTCCCATGCTGATAGTTCTTGGCTGTGCCCACCTGGGGGTTGGCGCTTGGCAGGCTGCCCTGCCCTTTGGAATCGGCTTCCCCCGCGGCTGGAACAATCACAGAGTTCACTGAAGTTCTGCAAAGCCCTTGTTTGGTTTCCACCTGGCTCTTTCTGACAAGCTGGGTGGAGTTTGTACCTCTTCCTCCGGGGCTAGAGCCGGGTGTCTCTTTGGTAATATTTTGGGCACAACACGTGGCAATTTGATACATATTGCCTGAGTTTTGCAAGGTGCCCTGAAGCCAGCATCTCCCTGGGGAAGTTTTACCAGCTCACAGCTTCACAAGGGACCACTAGGACCCTCCAGGACTGGACTATGTAGAAAATTAGGTCAACCCACCTCTGGTGCTCAGGGACACGAAAAATCCACGCTCCTGAGCCGTGTCGTTAAGCTGACCGAAGTCCTTGTGTAGACTTCTGTTGACCTAGGTCTGCATTAACCACACGGATGGGGGAACCCCTCCATTGGCCTGGGGGGAGCCTACGCTGACGCACGACCGTGGCTGGGTTTCATAGGTAACCACGTGCACAGTCTGGTGTATAACGGAGGCCAGAGAATGTCTCCTGACTAGCCCTGTGCTGAACGTATCAACTCACATTTGGCCAAAGCATCTTCCAGATGGAATCCACTCTTATCATAGAATCATAGAATAATAGGACTGGAAGGGACCTCGAGAGGTCATCGAGTCCAGCCCCCCGCCCTCAAGGCAGGATCAAGCTCCGTCTACACCATCCCTGACAGATGTCTATCTAACCTGTTCTTAAATATCTCCAGAGAGGGAGATTCCACCACCTCCCTTGGCAATTTATTCCAATATTTGACCACCCTGACAGTTAGGAATTTTTTCCTAATGTCCAATCTAAACCTCCCCTGCTGCACTTTAAGCCCATTACTCCTTGTCCTGTCCTCAGAAACCAAGAGGAACAAATTTTCGCCTTCCTCCTTGTGACACCCTTTTAGATATTTGAAAACCGCTATCATGTCCCCCCTTAATCTTCTTTTTTCCAAACTAAACAAGCCCAGTTCATGAAGCCTGGCTTCATAGGTCATGTTCTCTAGACCTTTAATCATTCTTGTCGCTCTTCTCTGTACCCTTTCCAATTTCTCCACATCTTTCTTGAAATGTGGCGCCCAGAACTGGACACAGTACTCCAGCTGAGGCCTAAGTAGTGCAGAATAGAGCGGCAGAATGACTTCACGAGTTTTGCTTACAACACACCTGTTGATACAACCTAGAATCATATTTGCTTTTTTTGCAACAGCATCACACTGTTGACTCATATTCAACTTGTGGTCCACTATGACCCCTAGATCCCTTTCCGCCATGCTCCTTCCTAGACAGTCGCTTCCCATCTTGTATGTATGGAACTGATTGTTCCTTCCTAAGTGGAGCACTTTGCATTTCTCTTTATTAAACCTCATCCTGTTTACCTCTGACCATTTCTCTAACTTGCTAAGGTCATTTTGAATTATGTCCCTATCCTCCAAAGAAGTCGCAACCCCACCCAGTTTGGTATCATCTGCAAACTTAATAAGAGTACTCTCTATCCCAATATCTACATCATTGATGAAGATATTGAACAGTACGGGTCCCAAAACAGACCCTTGAGGAACTCCACTTGTTATCCCTTTCCAGCAGGATTTAGAACCATTAACAACAACTCTCTGACTACGGTTATCCAGCCAATTATGCACCCACCTTATCGTGGCCCTATCTAAGTTATATTTGCCTAGTTTATCAATAAGAATATCATGCGAGACCGTATCAAATGCCTTACTAAAGTCTAGGTATATGACATCCACCGCTTCTCCCTTATCCACAAGGCTCGTTATCTTATCAAAGAAAGCTATCAGATTAGTTTGGCATGACTTGTTCTTCACAAACCCATGCTGGCTATTCCCTATCACTTTATTACTTTCCAAGTGTTTGCATACGATTTCCTTAATTACCTGCTCCATTATCTTCCCTGGGACAGACGTTAAACTGACCGGTCTATAATTTCCTGGGTTGTTCTTATTCCCCTTTTTATAGATGGGCACAATATTTGCCCTTTTCCAGTCTTCTGGAATCTCCCCTGTCTGCCATGATTTTTCAAAGATCATAGCTAAAGGCTCAGATACCTCCTCTATCAGCTCCTTGAGTATCCTGGGATGCATTTCATCAGGACCTGGTGACTTGCTGACATCTAACTTTCCTAAGTGATTTTTAACTTGTTCTTTGTGTATCCTATCTTCTAAACTTACCCTCTCTCTGCTTGTATTCACTACGTTAGGCACACCTCCAGACTTCTCGGTGAAGACCGAAACAAAGAAGTCATTGAGCATCTCCGCCATTTCCAAGTTCCCTGTTACTGCTTCTCCCTCCTCGCTAAGCAGTGGGCCTACCCTGTCCTTGGTCTTCCTCTTGCTTTTAATGTATTTATAAAAGGTCTTCTTGTTTCCCTTTATGCCTGTAGCTAGTTTGATCTCATTTTGTGCCTTTGCCTTTCTAATCTTGCCCCTGCATTCCCGTGTTGCTTGCCTATATTCATCCTTTGTTAGTTGTCCTAGTTTCCATTTTTTATATGACTCCTTTTTTATTTTGAGATCATGCAAGATCTCCTTGTTAAGCCAAGCTGGTCTTTTGCCATATTTTCTATCTTTCCTACACAGCGGAATTGTTTGCTTTTGGGCCCTTAACAACGTCCCTTTGAAATACTTCCAACTCTCCTCAGTTGTTTTTCCCTTCAGTCTTGCTTCCCATGGGACCTTACCTACAAGTTCTCTGAGCTTATCAAAATCTGCCTTCCTGAAATCCATAACCTCAATTGTGCTGGTCTCCCTTCTACCTTTCCTTAAGATCATGAACTCTATTATTTCGTGATCACTGTCCCCTATACTGTCTTCCACTTTCAAGTTCTCAACTAGTTCCTCCCTATTTGTTAAAACCAAATCCAGAACAGCTTCTCCTCTGGTAGCTTTTTCAACCTTCTGAAACAGAAAGTTGTCTCCAATGCAGTCCAGAAACTTATTGGATAGCCTGTGCCTCGCTGTGTTAGTTTCCCAACATATGTCTGGATAGTTGAAGTCCCCCATCACCACCAAATCTTGGGCTTTAGATAGTTTTGTTAATTGTTTAAAAAAGGCCTCATCCATCTCTTCCACCTGGCTAGGTGGCCTGTAGTAGACTCCTAGCATGATATCACCCTCGTTTTTTACCCCTTTTAGCTTAACCCAGAGACTCTCTACACAGCTATCTCCTACGTTCATCTCCACTTCAGTCCAAGTGTGTACATTTTTAATATACAAGGCAACCCCTCCTCCCTTTTTTCCCTGTCTGTCCTTCCTGAGCAAGCCGTACCCTTCCATACCAACATTCCAATCATGCGTCCCATCCCACCAGGTTTCTGTAATACCAATGATATCATAGTTGTATTTATTGGTTAGCAATTCCAGTTCTTCCTGCTTATTACCCATACTTCTCGCATTTGTATATAGGCATCTAAGATACTGATTTGATCTTGCCTCCCTGTTGTGCCCTGACCCTCCTTTCTCCTTGCCATTATAGGCCGTAGTCCCCCCCATTTCCAACCCATCTCCCAGTCCCGCACATTCAGCACTTTTCTCACTCAGTTAAAGAGCGGGTGGGGCGTACATCTCCCCTGCAGGGGGTATGTCTACACTACAGTGTTATTTCGAAATATCTAATTTCAAAATAGTTATTTTGAAATCTCTTCTTTTGAAAAAATGTGTCTGTACACAAAAGGCATTTCGCAATAGCTTTTTGCTATTTTGAAAAAGCGCGTCCACACTGATTGGATGCCGAATCGCATTGAAGGCCGGCTGGAACTGGCTCCGGAACTGGTTCCAGCAGGGCATCAGGTCAGAAGTTACCTTGTGGCCAGGGCGGCCAGCAGGAGACCCTGGGAAGGGCTGGAAGCCCCGTATTTCGAAATAAGCTTCTACACAGCGCTTATTTCGAAACAGCAGTTTCGAAATTGGCACTATCCCTCGTGGAATGAGGTTTACCCATTTCGAAAGACGCCCTCCACTATTTCAAATTAATTTTGAAATAGCAGTTGGCTTGTGGAGACGCTAGGAAAGTTATTTTGAAATAACTTTGCTGTGTAGACATACCCAGGGTGACTAGCTCCTTCCGCCTGAGGCCACGCCCCTTCCACCTATGGCTCCGCCCCGTTTGCCTGAGGATATGCCCCAACCGTCCCCACTCTTGCTAACCAGCCCAGAGCAGCCCCCACCCCAGCTGCTCTGCTGGCACACGGAGCAGCTCTGAACCCCGGCCAGCAGCACCCAGAGGAGTCCCGAGCCCTGGCCGGCCTGGGCCAAGCCTGGATGCCCAGAGGAGCTTTGGGACCTGCCAGAGCCCAGCTAGCGAGAAGCATTAGCATAAGCATTAGTGAGCCTCCCCCAGCCTCCGTTAGCTGGTCCCCGTGGGCTGGACGAGTCTGGTGCTTCCTCACCAGGGCTTAAATAGATCGGGGGGGAGGGGTCCTGCCGTTCTTTCGCGGGCGAGCCGGGAATTCAATTGCCAAGCCTCTCTCGGCCTAACCTCACCGGACTCTGTGTGTGAAGCACCAGCCCTTTCCCCACCTGTCCCCAGGCCCACGTGAAATACGCAGCTGCCGAGGGCACCCCAAAATCTGGGGCACCCCATTTTGGGATGCCCCATGCGGCTGCGTGTGCTTTGAATGGCCCCATTACCTCTGCTGCCTGGTGCTTGTCTGGCCCCTCTCCAGCTGCTCGCTCCTCCTGGTGGCGGCCTTCCTCCCCACACACTATTTGGCTGCTACCTGAGGGCTCCCTCCTGCCAGAGTTGGGGTGCAGAGGAGCCCTCGGCCTCTGTGGCTCCACTGACCCCAGGGAAGCCTGTGAGCCCAGAAACTATGCGGGGGGAGCATGTGTGGCCTCAGCTACATAGGGACCCATAAATTGTAAGGACGGCCCTGCCTGTGGGGGAGAAATTGCCTCATATCCCAGGGAAGCAGATTCTGGGATCTGCTTCATCTCGTTTCTGGGCAGGGTCTACGGGGCTCCACGTGGGGCCAGAATTGGAATTCGCCTTGTTTCCAGCCTGAATCTGGGCTTGAAATCAAATGTCAATATTGCTTGAATTGCTCAGAGTTTCAATGCAGGGAACCTGACCTGAATTGGGGCCACATTCCCCTCTCTCCAACACTACGTTTTCTGCTGGGAAAAGAAAAATAATTCGGTGGAAAAATGTCACCTCAGCTCTATCTCTCCCGTGTTCCCAGCACGGCTCCCAGAAACAATGCATTCTGGGAGATTCTGAAAAGATGCTGCTTCTCTTCGGGAGAAGAGCTATTTGGTGTCCTCTGTGTCCACTGGACTGGCCTGGATCATAGATTCAGGCTCTCCGAAGCTAGAAGGGCCCATTTCCAGCATCTGCTTTGACCTCGGTGCAGAAGTTCATTAGGGCTTCCCTGAACTCTTACCTGTTTGCACTAGAAATTCCTCTGGTTAAAAATTAACCGACTTTTAGTGCTGCTTAAAGGCTGCCTGGCTTTTGAGGCCTTGGGGTGTGAGTGCAAAGCATTCTGGGAGCACCAACTGATTGAGATCACGTCACTTGAGGGCCAAAATTGAGAGCCCTTCCCCCCGAAAGGGGTTCACGTTCCAGGAGGCGAGCATTTGGAAAATTGGGGCCTTATAACAAAGCCACCAAAATCGCTAGCCACTCTGGCGTGGCCGCCCGCTATCGTGACCACTACGCTTAATGTAGCCACTCTGGATTGGCAGCAGTGTAAACGAGATCAGAACCGGATCAGGCCTGAGCACCACAACCCAGCCATTTGGACACACACACGCCAAAAAAAAACCCCACTCCACATGAACTCACAATTGGCCCAAAAAGCCACATTTGTGAAATGTTTTGGCATCGTTCAAGCTGCGTTTTTTGCTGAAAAAATAAAGCTTTTAGGTACCTTCCTGAGCATCCTCATCTGCAATGAGGTGAAGGCATTAGGAGTCTGTCTTTGGGTATGTCTACACTTGCACCCTGGTTTGAACTAGGGATGCAAATGCAGGCATTCGAAATAGTCAATGAAGCGGGGATTTAAATATCCCACGCTTCATTAACATGATCTCGCTGGCGCACTAGTTCAAATCAGCTGATTCAAACCAGGAAGTGCGCGCCGGGACGCGCTAGTTCGACCCAAACCTCTTGGTTCAAACTAATGTTATTCCTCAAAAAATGCTTTTTTGTAGCTCTAGCATACGCAAGGGGTCTGGGTTCAAACCTCACCTACAATCCAGCTAGTAGTTTGGCCGAGTTGCCTACCTGGCAACACTCAGGACAATGAATCCAACTTCATTTGTAAAGTGGGTTAATTAAACCTGGAGGGAACACTCCTATTCAGAACGAAGGCGGCCTTAATTCCGAATCATTGAATTCGCTTTGGAGGTGAAGTCACTTAATTGTCTTTGGAAGTGAAATATTTGTCTACACAGGGCCAAAGTGCGAAGGAGAGGGGGACTGATGGTCCAGAGCTCTCTAACTACCCCATTTAGACCCTGTTGCTATGCTCTAAAAGGTGTGTTACATGAGTCCTGTCTGAAGCAGGACGGCATCAATCCGCATTAGGTGTCTGTAGAGCGCACTGGCAAGGTCAAGTAGAACCGTGGTGTCCAACAAGCTATAGCTAGCGCAAACTCGCCACACTCAACCGGACAGCGTGTGGCTAGTGGCTACCGGGTTGGACACCACGGACATGGAAGATGACCCGTTAGCGCAGACTAATCCATCCATGTGTAGATTTTTTTCCCCGTCCCCTGTGCAGAATAAATTTTGTTCTGCGCACCAAGTTGTGTTCAGATGTGCACCACCAGTAGAAATAAAACCTAGCTCTAGGCGCTCTGCTAATCACCTAGAGCCGTGGTCCCCAAAACGGTGCCCGCGGGCGCCATGGCGCCCGTGGGGGCATTTCCATGCGCCCGCCAGGTGCTCGGGGCTGGCCTGGCACCAGGCGCATGGCGGGGGGAGCGCCGGCCCCGGGCGCGCGGCGCATGGCGGGGGGAGCACCGGCCCCGGGCATGCAGCTATGGGGGGGCTGCCCCCGGGGCGCCAAGTGTCCCCGCCCCCTGGCGCCCGGCGGGGGGCAGGGCCCGGGCTGGCCTGGCACCGGGCGCAGGGCGGGGGGAGCGCCGGCCCCGGGCATGCAGCTATGGGGGGGGCCGCCTCCGGGGCGCAAGTGTCCCCGCCCCCTGGCGCCCGGCGAGCAAACGGCCACTCCCCCTGGCGCCCAACAACCTTGAAAGGTTGGGGACCACTGATCTAGTTTGTCTGACTCTGCCATTTTTGACTTAGGCATTATTTAGTTGGCTGTGATGCTAGATGGTCGCCAGGCACCTTTGTTTGGTTGTTACATTTGGTGCCTCTCACCCTCATGAGCATAGTATTGTCCTTCTTTCACCTTGGACATGAATGAAGTTCAATTAAGTCAAGGCCACTTCAACTTTACGTTCACACCCTTCGTTAATTTGGATTCATTTCCCTGAGTTTCCTCAACCCTTGTTCAAGGCTCTAAAGGCAAACAGAGAGTGGGTGCAGAGACCTGGCAAGCCAGAGCTGAGCCCACCGAAATCCACGTCCTCCAGTGCACTGACCATTGGAACTGCTCTCTCCTGGGGAAGGGGCGTGGGCTGTTGAGGGGCCACGTTGCAGCCGCACATGCCCAATCATTGTGCTGTGTCTGTCTCCTTCATGGCCAACTCTAGCTGCTAGTATAAAGCAGGCTCTGTCTGAGGCCCACGCCGCTGGAGGCGAATCGCAGATGCGCGGGAAAATTATGCTGAAACCTGGGCACCGTGGGTGGTGGGTGAAGGTCGGGTTGAGGGAGGCAAACTCCCAGCCCCGCCCCTTCTGTTAAGGCCCCACCCATCAGCCCCCCCAGCACCACAGGGAAGTGGGGTGATGCACAGCGCCAACCTCGCCAGCCCCAGAGAACGGGGAGGGTGGGAGCAACGCTCCGCCCCCAGGTGGCCTACAGCAGGCATTCTGCGGGAGGAGTCTCGGCGGGGCCAGGCTAGCGGTTCGGGAAGGCAAAGCCTTCCCCTGCCTATGAGACCCGCTGCCCCTGCAGGGGGTTGGGCTCGGTCCGGGGGAGACAGAAGAGCCTTCGTCACCTTGAAGAAGAAATTGGTCCTTCCCACGGCTCCAATCTTCCCTGTGTAGTTGACGAACCCGATGTTCCCCTCCGTGGCCCCGTAGAACTCGCAGATGCGGATGGGCCCGAAGCGCCGGAGGAATTCTTTCCAGACCTCCACCCGCAGGCCGTTGCCCAGCACCAGCCGCACTCTGTGCTCTCGTTCGTTCTCCCGCTGCAAGGCAAACAGGACGGGGGGTCCAGGAGCAGCCCAGAGCGGAGACCGGGTCTTGCTCTGGGTCTCACGCTGCTTCAAGCAGCAAGAGGCAGGACAGAGCCTGCGGTGAGTGGGGAGTTGCCCCAGGCTGTGCTGGAAAGGGCCATGGGCAGCCACTTAGGGGGCGGGCCCTGAGCAACGTTCCTCTAACTTTTTCCAGCCATGTGTGGATTTTTTTCCCATCCCCTGTGCAGAATAAATTTTGTTCTGCGCACCAAGTTGTGTTCAGATGTGCACCACAAGTAGAAATAAAACCTAGCTGTAGGCGCTCTGCTAATCACCTAGAGCCTCCCTAAACCCCCTTGTTGATTTATCGCCCTCACAGGAACACCCCTGCGAGGCCCCAGGCCAGCTGTCTTCAAGGCCGGCCTTGGGGAAAATGGCACCCTGGGCAAATTTGGGTTTCAGTGCCTCTCACCCTCATGAGCATAATATTGCCCGTTTCCCCTGGCACCCCTGGGCTCCCCAACCCTTACACCCCCATCCTGACTCCCCTTACCACTAACCCCTGCATTGTGCCCTTCACCCCAGCCCCTGAACTTTCCTACCCCCCCCCGTACTCTCCAACCCCAGCCCTGCACTTGCAGTATGTCCTGTCCCCTGCTAGGGTTGCCGGGTGTCCGGTTTGTGCCCAGTCTGGTATTTGTGGCCTCTGTCCAGTAAAAATACCAGAAAATACCGGCTATGTAAATACCACATCTGACGGGTGTGGGAGGAGCGGGGGTGTGGATTTAAAGACGCAGTGACCTTTTCTTTTTTTTTTTGATCAACAAGTTTGATCTCCCAGTTTTGTTTTGTTTTTTTGCTCAATATTTTTTTTTCCACGTTCAGGATTTTTTGTGAAAGTAACTGGCAACCCTACCCTCCATTCAGGGTTTACTCATACGCAGCACGTGCAGCTGCGTAGGGCACCTGAAAATCTGGGGCACCCCTGGGTCCTAATGCCCCCCCCTCCACCTCTTCCTGACCCTATTCTGCATCTCAGTTTCCTCCAGAGAAGAGCTAGTTTACAGTCAAACCAAAAAGTGAAATATTCTGATTCTGAAATGCTGCCAGGGTACATCATGGGCGACGTCGTCCAGTGAGGAGCCTGACCAGGAGAGGAATATTAAAACACGAGGCAACGGAACTACAACTCCCATGTGGCACCTGGGCAGCATTTCAGGATCAAAATATTTCAGGTTTCAGCTCTGGCAGCGCCATAGGACAGTTCAGGGCGGCTGCCCCGGACCCCGAGTTTTGGGGGGCCCTGAGGCAGCTGCCCCAGCTGTCATATGGATGGGACAGTCCCCTATATTGAGGGGAAGCTGTGAAGCACAGGGTACCACAGTGGATTAGCTGGGGGTGGACTGATGAGGGGCAAAAACAGGAGTTGCCCCCCCCCCACACCCACACACACACTCACCACAGGAAACAGTGCAACCCGGTTGGGAGAGGACAGTGGAGCAGCGCACAGCTGCTGTGCCACTCCGCTTCCTGGGCTCCCATCATGGCCATCCCTGCCACCACCTGGCGCCAGCCCCCCCGCCCATTAACCCCCCAGGTTGTGTAACTCAGAGGAGGAGGCTTCAGGGTCATACAAGGGGGGCAGGAAGGGGCAAATCAGGTGCAGGAGGAGGCAGGATGGAGCCTGGGGTGGGGGCGGCGTTGCTATGGGTCCCAAGCCCCCCAAGGGTGGATAAGGCATAAAAAGGTGAACAGCATTTTTTTGCTGGTTTCTGTCCGGTTGGTGCCAGCCAGTCCGGGTGCCGGCGTCCCCGGGCTAATCCCGTTGTACATCGTCACTCGACACTTGTAACGGCTCCCTATTGTGGGGGGCGGGGGGACACCTCCCCACCCCAGGGCTACTCAATTTTGGAAGCCCCGGTGGCCACAATGATACTCACAGCAGGTGCCGAGGGCCACAAATGAAGTGGGGCATGCAACTATATGCGCAAATAGATGCAAATAGCTTCTTTCACGCTGATGGGCATGAATACAAAGGTTAAGACAAGTCTACACAACACACAGGCCCCCCCTTTAAGTCAGTTCTGCGGATATGAATAAAATGCAACCGTTACCCCATTTCCACCCAGATGACAGCGCTTTGAATGAGCAATGACAGGCCAGGAATCGAACTGCTAAAACGCTCATCAACAGGAGACCGTTATACTGACAGTTTTATTGTTTTGACTGCCACCCGCAGGCCGCAAACAAAGGGGCGGTGGGTTGAGTGGCCCTGGCCTAAGCACTGAAGGCACACGGGGGGCAGTTGTGTAAATACACAACTTGCCGTCTGGATTTGCTCTGTGGTTAACTGGGTGCCGTGACAGTATCTTGCAGTAATAACACCACCACTACAGAGCAGGACTTCCCTCCTGGTTCCCCCAGCTCCCCCGCTGGGATCAGCCCCTTCCCCGCAGACAATCTCGCGCTGGGGTACCTTGGGCGCGTTGCAGAGGTAGCGCATCACCTCCCCTACGTACTGGATGACAGTGACGTTGTAGCGCCGGCAGTCATCCCAGAACTGGGAGACAGAGAACTTCGAACGCAGGACACAGGTGGCTCCTAGGGGAGAGGAAAGCAGAGGTGATGGGGAGGGGATGTGAACCTGGGAGCCTCACCAAATCCAGCCCTTCCAGGCTACCCTAGCGCAATAATGGCACCCACGAGGCAGCGGGTGCCATGGCTCCTCTGCTTGTTCCGCTTATTGGAATCATCCAGCTATTTCCTTCTGCTCTGCCCAACGATTTCTGAAATGCAGCTTCCGTGTCTCATCTTGTGGGCCTCTCCTGAGACCCTCTCTTTGCTCTGTGTTTGCACAGCGCACAGCACAACAGAGCTGCCAATGGTGCCACCATAAAACACACAATAATATGGCCAGAGCCCCTAGGGGGCGCCGTAGTGTGTACGTTTTTTCCTTAGTGTGCGAGCAAATGGTCAGTCTTTGGAGACATGTTTGAATATGGGTTCGTTCTGTGAGGCGGTTGTTTTTTAGGGGGAGCTGTAAGTTTCTCTCTGACCAGAGCTGATTTTTGAGGCAAAGTTAGTTGGTCCTAGTGCACCGATCTTTGGTGGCGCGCTGAGGTTTCTGAAAGAAAGGATTTGTCAGTTTTGGGTGGCTGCCTCAGAATCTTATCCCTCTGATGGTTAGAGATAATCTCTTCTTATTTCTAGTCAGAATGTGGTCATGGCCAGTTTATATCCATATCTAGGCAGCAGCAGCAGCAGTAGTAGTAATAATCATAATGATAATGATAATCATAATCATAATGCTTGCTTAAAGATTATACTACATGTGAAAATGCACTTTGTTGCATTTTTATCTATCCAGTTAATCCCCATCCATCCGTCCATCTATCTATCTATCTATGCCCACCTACCCTATCTATCTATCTATCCCCACCCCATCCATCCATCCATCCATCCATCTATCTATCTATCTATCTATCTATCTATCTATCTATTCCCATCCACCCCATCTAATTATCTAGCTAGCTATCTCCATACAGATCATCCATCTCTATCTCTATCTCTCCCTATATACCCCCACTCTCTATCTAATAAACCTATTTATCTATGTTTCTATCTCTCCCCATCCATCGTATCTATACATCCCATACAGCTCATCCTCTATCTATCTGTCTGTCTGTCTCCATACCCAACCACCTCTCCATTCATCCCTCTCTCCCACGGATGTACCCTGGCACCCTCTGTGTCTTTGGACCCAAGTGGACACTGTACATACCAACCTCCAAGCTTCCCCCGAGTCCGAGGAGCAGTGCAGCCGAGTGGTACAGCGGTAGAGGGGTGTAGATCACGTCCGTGGGTTTGACGCCGCACACGTTTAATATGCTCGCCATCATGCACAGCCTCGTGTGGGTGATGATGGCAGCTTTCGGTAGCCCTTATGGGACAGAAAGGTTGTGTTTAGTGATGCCGCCCTGTGGATCCTGAAAATCCTCCTATGGGTTTTTTTTTTGTGTGGGTGCTTGAGTCTAGAATCAGAAACAGCCCCTCTGGGTGGCCAAACAAAGGGCCGGCCCGACCACAGATATTTACAGCCTCTCTCCGAGTTACAAACGAGTTACGGACCAAACACTTGGCTGTAACTCGAGCTGTTCATAACTCGGACCCCATTGAGTTACATGCGACCGCGCTGTTCGTAAGCGCAGGTCACGTTCGTAACTCGGGGACCACATGGGAGCTTTGGTCGTAAGTGCGAATGGTCGTAACTTGACCGTTCGCAACTCGGGGAGCGGCTGTATTGGCAATAGAGGCCGAGAGTCAAAAACTTCAAAGCCGTACAGTGGCTTAAGGACAAACTATCAGCCTCGCAATTCAGCGCGTACAAAGGAAGCAGCCTGAAATCCAACTCGAACGCGTTTTCAAGCAGCATTTTTCAGACTTGGCCAACTCGTACGTTTTGCCCACGATTAGCGAAAACACTTTTTTTTGGCAGTTTGTGCCCTTGTGGTGACATGGACCTTTCTCGACATTTCCCAATAAATAACTAAAGCACAGAAATGTACAAAGAGAAGGAACCTCGACAAGTCGCAGAGACAGGGCTAAGTACGACCCAGGCCCATGATCTGGTTATCCTCGAGGGTTGCCAGGTATCTAGTATTGGACCAGACAGTCTAGTATTTGCGGCTTCTGGCTGGTAAAAAAAACCCTGAAAATACCAGACATATAAAATGTCTGTTTTCTGTTTTTCTCAGACGGAAGGACACTTGGAACATTCTTCCTCGGCCACTTCTGGTGGGGATGGGAGGAGTGCAGGGATTTAAAGGCACAGTGACTCTTTTTTTTTTTTTTGCTCAACAACTTTGGTCCCTGTCAACTTTGGTCCCCTGTTTTTTTTTTTCCCAACCAATTTTTTCCCCGCCATGTTTCGTATTTGCTGTGAAACTACCTGGCAACCCTAGTCTCTAAAGTGCCACAGGGCCGCTGGGTGGTTTTGAAGTTACAGAATAACAGGGTATGATGGCATGGGAGGGTTTTATGCAGAGGGGGCACTCAGTGTCCCTGGGTGTTACTGGTGTAAGGAAGGGAGGGGGAAGGGGGTTTGTTGTTATAGGGACCAGTACAGAACTGGAGCCCACAGCTGGGTCTGGCCAGTGGGAGCCAATGGGCTGCAGAGAAAGGCCCCTGGTGACCTGTCCAGCTGGTGGGGGGGGGGGGAGACAAAGGTCGAAGGAGAGGAGAGAGAGGCCCAGGTGACCTTGCTTACCTAGTCAGGGGACAAAGGACAGGGAGGGGCTGCTGGAGGCTCAGGGGGCACCTGAACAGGGCAGTGAGAGAGCAGGCAGAGCCCACCCGGCTGCAGGGAGACTCAGACGTGCTGGGCTGTGGGAGGGTTCCTGTGCTGGGTTCACAGCTCAATCAACCCTCCTGTGTGACGCTGGCTGGGAGTCGCTCTGGGCTGGAGAACAGGCTGCCCCGTCCCCTCTGGGAGTGGAGGCCCCAGGGGTCCAGAGCGAGGGGCCCCACGGCAGCGCCAGGCTGGGGGCTCACAGAGGCGCCGGCCCAGGAGGCGGAGGGGCGGACCCCTGGAAGCGAGCGGACTCCCCGACAAGGGGCTGTGGCACTGTGTGTGGGGGGGGGGAACGCGTGGGCGCGACCTGCAAGCCCGTGACCCACGGCTGCCCCTCGGAGGTTTTAGTGCCGAGACTATCGCTGGCCGATGTTTGTTTAACTTGCTCTTAAAAACCTCCCTCACCTCCCTAGGTCATGTATTCCAGTGCTTAACCCCCCGGGGAGGCAGGTTTCCCGCAATCTTCCGGGCTGCAATTTACGCCCGTTGCTTCTGGTCCTATCCTCCGTGAACAGAGACGACAAAAGGATCGGACTCCCCCGTATCGCAACACACTCTCCCGGCCTACGGACGAGCCAGAACGCCCGTCCTGTGCCCCCTGCTCACCGGTGGTGCCCGAGGTGTAAATGTAGAGGGCCGTGGATTTGCCGGTCACGTTGCCTCGGAAAGCAACAGGCACCGGCGCGGTGGAGGCGGCATCTATCCGGCTCTGGAGGGGCTCCACGCCCTCCGTGGGGGACTCCTTACTCAGGTAGAAAACCCGGAAGCCTTCCTGGCGGAGGGTGGGCAGAACATTCTCGATGGCCGCTTGCAGATCTGAAGGGAGAGGAGGAAGGGGTTTTTCCCCAGGCAGGAAGAGGGGGAAGCCGCATCACGTGCTCCGCGAGGCACATCCACGGGGAGACACGGACACGAGGCGCGCGCAGACAGGCAGGGCCAGGCCGACACAGCACGCGGGGGCAGAATCGCACACGTCCCCCTCCCTCGAACCCACGTATTTGCCGCCGTGCGAGAGTGGTGGCGGGTTCCCCATCCCCCCGGCCTTTGGAGCCCCCCACCACCAGACCCCCCAGTGCCAGCCTCGTTTCGGGCCACGGAGCCCTGCGGCCCCAATCCCTGGGTGCACCTCGCTGTGCATACAGTGGGGTGGTCTGTGACTGAAACAGGCGGGGAGTCAGAAATGCGCCCCACTAGCCCCTCAGGGAGGAGACAGAAACAGCAAATGCAGGCATCTGATGTGCCATACCTCACGTAGATCAGGAGCAGCGGAAACACCCTAAAAGTGAAGGCCACCAGCGCCCGACCCCCGGCCCCACCCCTGTACTGTCCCCCAGCAAGGCCTGCCCCCCACCCTGCCCCTTCTCTCTGAGCCCTGCCCCTCTCTCCGAAGCTCCACCCTCACCCCACCCCTTTCCCTGAGGCTCCGCCCCCGCCCTGTGCTGTCCCCCAGCAAGGCCTGCCCCCCACCCTGCCCCTTCTCTCTGAGCCCTGCCCCTCTCTCCGAAGCTCCACCCTCACCCCACCCCTTTCCCTGAGGCTCCGCCTCTGCGCTGCCTTTCCCCCCCCAAGAGCCCTGCCCCTTGCTCGCATCTCTCCACCCTTTCCCCCGTCAGGCAGCCCCGGAACCGGATGCCCCAGCCACTGCAGAAGCGACGGAGGTCACGGAAAGCCACAGAATCCGCGCTCTCCCAGGGTATGTCTACACTACAGAGTTTTGTCGGGAAAACAGCCGTTTTTCTGACAAACTGCGCTGCCTTTCCCCCCCCAAGAGCCCTGCCCCTTGCTCGCATCTCTCCACCCTTTCCCCCGTCAGGCAGCCCCGGAACCGGATGCCCCAGCCACTGCAGAAGCGACGGAGGTCACGGAAAGCCACAGAATCCGCGCTCTCCCAGGGTATGTCTACACTACAGAGTTTTGTCGGGAAAACAGCCGTTTTTCTGACAAACCTTGAGGAACGTCCATGCTATAGTCACGTTCTTCCTGAGAAAACTGAAAGAACAGGGGGGGGTTTTCTGACATTGGAAATCCTCCTTCTACGAGGAAGAAACCTTTTTCTGGAAAAGGCGTGTGTGGACGGGGAAGAGGGAGTTCTTTCAAAAGAAGAGGAAAGAGGAAAAAGCACAGGTGCCCTGGTGGCTACTCCGTCCGTAGCAATCACAGCTTACATGTGAGACAGCCTCCATTCAGATGGCTTTTTCGATGCGCTTTGGCAGTGTGGACACGCTCTTTCGGAAGACGTTTTTTCGGAAGATCTCTTCCGGAAAAAGCTTCTTCCGAACGAAGCCTGCAGTCTAGACGTAGCCTCCTGACACCCAGCCTTCACTGCGAGGGCTGCTCAAACCCCATGACACACAAGGGGATTTTTCCCAGGCCCCCAGGGAAAAGTATAAATAAGGGACAGCACCATCACCGAGGAAGCAAGATTGCCTGGGGAAACAAAGGGCTCCCCCAGTCTCTGCTCCCAGAATTGAGAGAGAACCCAGGACACCCCTCTCTCTCTGCAGAGTAACAAAGTAAGAACATACTTTAAACTGTTAACCCTCATCAGTGTTCCCTAAGTCAGTGGCTGCCAATCTTTTGTATGCCAGGGACCAGCAAACCTTTGGTGGGCCTGGTAACATTTAATTTGCATATTTGCATACTCATTATGCAAATAATGAATATGCAAATATGCAAATGAAATGTTACTGGTCTGCCAAAAGCCTCGGCCCTCAGAGCCTCTGCAAATAGCTGGCTTTGGCTTCCCCATCCCTCCGGCCTTTGGAGCCCCCCACCACCAGACCCCCCAGTGCCAGCCTCCTGTTTCGGGCCACGCAGCCCTGCGGCCCCAATCCCTGGGTGCAGCCGCTGTCTGTCATGCACTCATGGCTCTGGCAGCAGCTACCCCACCATGTGGCCTCGGCCTCAGAGGCAGTTGGAGTAGCCGCTCTGCAATGCGACTCTGGCTCCGGGTCTGTCCACCACATGGCCCCACCCCTGGGAGCAGCCAGGGCCCTGGCTGCTGGGGCCGGAACCATGATACTAAAAATGCCATGAGGTGTCAGAACATGTTAGTATTAGAGCTGAGTGGGTCTAATATTTATTTAATTTTCTTTCTTTTATATAGGAATTAGATACAGTGCTTCTGTCAGCTAATTGCTAAATTATCTGCTAAAAAAAAACCTAGCGTTCTCTAGTGCCTTAGTATCCCTAGAAAGAGATGATATGTGTGTATGTGTGGCGGGGGAGAGGATGAATGAAATCACAAACCCCATTTGCTCCTTGGCTTGTATTGCGCATGCTCAGTGTGACGGGGTGAAGCAACCTCGCACTGGCTGGGGGCGCCGGCCCCCCACCATGGAAGCACGCACAGGCCGCCTCTCCCCCCAGAAAAGAATCTGAAATGTCCCCCTGCTGCTGAGTGCTTCTGAAAGAACAGCCCTGGAAGGGGAAGAGAAACCGGCTTTCGCTGACTCGGAGAGGGCAAATCAAAGCCAGCCCTTGATTTGTGTTCTGCCTTGTCCTGATTCTAAGTAGGAAGATTATGGCCAGAGCATGTCCTAAACCCGTTAGTTTGGCAAGAGGGCCGCCGCTTAGTGCTTTATGCTCCTTCCTTGAGAGTTACCCCCTTAGCCTGACCCTGATCAAATCTCTCTTTGGATCCTGAGGATCATTAACTGCAGCTGGTTTCTCCCTGCTGATCTTGCGAACACACAGAAAAACTTTTCACAGGGCTTCTCCCCAGATATTTAGATGGCCCTAATTTACTGGGGGCCTTGTAGGACTTCCACAGACTTCAGATCAGGCAGAGACAGCTGCTTTGAAACCTCATCGCCTGTGCCAGGGTGCCGAGGATTAAAAAAGCATGGGACAGCTCTACGGCCCGCTTGGGTGTCTGATTCATTATACTCAGAGGGGTCGCCGTGTTAGTCTGTAACTTTAAAAACAAGTCGCCCTGTGGCATCTTTGCATCTAACAAAACTATAGAGAGTATCGTGAGCTCGTGGCTCAACCCCACTTCATCAGATGAGCTGGAGTGGAAATAACAGAACCAAGATATTTATAAGAGAGGGGAAAGGGGGAAAAAATGCCTGTCAATTGTAGGACCGGTGCTAATGAGGTTAATTAAAGTGGGCTGGAAGGGTCCCATTCTTAGCTCTCAGTGTAAAAATGCAGTTGTTAGTGGCAGGAGAGACGGGCTTTTTAATGCATTATCCAGTTCATGTTTTTGTTCAAGCCCAGGGAAACAGTGTAAGATTTGCAGATGAATGCCAATCTGCACTCTCTCTGTCATTAGCTGGTGAAATTCGGTTGGAGAAGAAAGAATTCTATAATATTAATTATGAGATGAATTATAGTCCACCTGAGGTTAGGGATGCCTGGGAGGGTGTCTTGGAAATTGCTGGTTCAAGGCAATGAACACTCTAATTTTTTTTCCCATTTGCATGCAGAATAAGTTTTGTTATGTGCTCCGAGACAAATATGGATGTGCACCACCAATAGAAACATATGACACTGGCTGTGGGTGCTTTGCTGAAGTTGAGCAGCATTTGAATCTCTCCAGGACGGCCGTCCAAGTGCTCAGCTTATAGGGAATGTTGGCTGGAGGTCAAACTAAATCATTCTTGGCCCCAGGTTGCACAAGAGGTATGGGGCGATCGAACGGCTCCTTCTGGGCTTACAATCTTTGGATTTCAGAAGCCGGCGAAGGACCAGGTGATTGGAAACCAGGCTGGCAATGCAGCAGCATTTAAAGCTATCAGGCCAGTAGTCCTGGAGTTTGACAAAAACTTCTGTAGAAATCGGCTCTGCCTTCCCACAACACTGCCCTGCAGGATGCTTACCCACAGTCCTTTGCTCTGTCTACTAGCAACACGGCTTGGAAATGTCGACAATGGGAGGCAGAAAGACTTTTGTGGCCAAAACTTCCCAGCGTAGAAGTGCTTACTTGTGTAAACCTCTCCGTTTTTTTGAGACGGCCTCTCCCCCCTTCCCGAAAGAAACTAGCTAACAAAACAGAAACCAAGTCCTGCAGTCACAGAATTGTAGGATGGGAAAGGATCTCTGTAGATCATCTAGTCCGGTCCCCGGCACTCATGGCAGGACGAAGTATCACCCCCTAAACCATCTCTGACAGGCGTTTGTATAACCTGTTTTTTAAAACTTCCAGAGATGGAGATTTCACAGTCTCCCTAGGCAATTTATTCCAGTGCGTAACCACCCTGAGTACGTCTACACTGCAGGCGTATTCCAGAATAAGCTATTCCGGAAGATATATTCCGAAATCGCTTCTTTCAGAATAGAGCCTCCGCATTTGGAAGTCTCAAAATTAGTTTGAGGCGTGAGGCAGGCTCCCCTAATATGGATGTGCTATCTCAACAGAGGGTATGTCTAGACTGCGCTCTAAAATCGAAATAAGATAGGCAATTGGCGCTATGCAAATTGCATGTCTTATTTCGATTTGATTTCGAAATAGGCTACTTCAAAATTTGCCGCGTCTACACGGCACCACATTTTGAAATAAAGCACTGTTTCGAGACATCTCTTATTCCTTGTGGAACGAGGTTTACAGGGATGCTGAAATAGCACACCCGTTATTTCGAAAATTTATTTCAAAACAGCAAATGCGTTCCTTGGACGCAGGGTAGCTCTTTCGGGATACCGAATAGCCTTGCAGTCTAGACATACCCTTAGAGCCCCAGAAATTACTTCGAATGACCCTGGGGAGGGAGCTATTTCGAAATAGCAGCAGTGGAACGTCCACACTGCTGCTATTTTGAAATAGCTATTTTGGAAATAGCTCGTGGAATAAGGTTTACGGAAGTCGGAATAAGCTGTCCCGTTTTTCGATGTTATTTCAAAAAAACGGAATGGCTGTGTAGTCGCTTGCTTTGTTATTTCAAAATAACGCTAGCTATCTTGAAATAACGGTGCAGTGTATACTCTGACTGTTAGGAAGTTTTTCCTAGGGTGCGTCTACACGGCACCTTCCCACTCGGAATAAGATATGCAATTCGCACTCCGCAAATTGCATATCGTATTTCGATTCTACTTCAAAATAGCTTATTTTGAAATTTGGCGCGTCTACACGGCACCAAATTTCTAAAGAAAGCACTATTTCGAGCCATCCCTCGTGCAGCAAGATTTCCCAAGATGGTGAAATAGCGTGTCCATTATTTCGAAAAGTATTTCAAACTAACAGGCAGCTTGTGTAGATGTGGGGTAGCTATTTCGGGATACTGGAAGTATCCCGGAATAGCTGTGCAGTGTAAAAGTACCCCTAATGTCCAGCCCTAAACATCCTATTCTGCCATTTAAGCCTATTGCCTCTTCTCCTATCCTCAAAGAACATTTGAAAGTATCTTTCACCCATGCAAAACAGTTATCATGTGCCCCTTCAGTCACCTTCTTCTCCAGACTAAACAAACCGTGTTTCTTCAATCTTTCCTCACAGCTCATGTTTTCTAGACCTTTCATCATTTTTGTTGCTCTTCTCTGGACCCTCTCCAATTTCTCCACATCTTTCCTGGAACGCGGGGCCCAGAACAGAACACAGCCCACCGGCGGAGGCCTACATAGTACAGAATGGAGTAGAAAAGTTTGGGTAACGTTTTTGAGACTGGAAAGAAAGCAACTGCATCTTTGCCAGTGAGGGCAACTCAATATTGTGGAGAACGCTCTGGAAGTTTGTTAATCAGGATGGATGTTTTTGAAAAGCTCTTTTCTGCTCTAGTTCACACAGGAATTAGTTCAGGAACATCCTGAGCGGTGATCCCTATAAACTGAGAGTTTAGGTGGCCAGTCAGGAGAGAGTCAGATTAGGGATATAAAATCCCTTTTCATGTAAGCGTAATGTTTAACTGATTAACTGATCAAAGGAGCCTCAGGCGGGGGCGGTGGGGCTGGAGCTGGACTGGGCCCCTGGCATAGACAGGAGCCGCACATGGATGGAAAAAATTAGAGGGGACATTGATTATGGGCAGGGACTGCCCTGGGGGGTTATGAGCAGGGTCTCTCTGTGGCTATGAGGGGGGATGCTCTGAATGGGCCACAGTGCCCCCTTCACTCCCCAGTGGGATCCATGGGGCTGCAGCAGCCCCCTGCCCACATCAGGTAGGGAGCTATTCCAGCCCCCGCCGGGTAACCGGAACAGGCAAGCCATTAACGAGGCTTACCCTTTCATCATTCGCATCTCTAAATCAAATGCCTTCCATCTGATTAACAGTGAGCCCACAGCTGGCAGCATGTGTGCCTATTGGTGGTGCACATCCACACATGCCTTGGTGCATAGAACAAAATGTATTCCACACGTGGATGGAAAAAATTAGAGGAAACGTTGGTTATGGGTAAAGGCTGCCATGGGGAGTTATGGGTAGGATCTCTCTGGGATTACAGAGGGGCTGCCCCCTGGGGGTCTTGGGACACAACTTGTATAGAGGAAAGATCTGATAATTACAACTGTTCCTTCTGGCAGGGAGCTGTAACGAAACAGCCACCATCTTCAAACATTGCTGCAGAGTAAGATTGCAAGCGTTCAAGGCTGCAGGGCCTTGTTAGGATGAGTAACTGGAAGCAGGAGAGGCAGGGTTTAATGGCTGTGCAGCCTTGGTCAGGTCACTGACCCACACCATGCCTCAGTTTCCCCATGTCAATGCCCTCCCGGTAGTGTGGGTTTAATTTTAACATCTGAGGAGTTTTACTGCTGCTATTAGGTACAAAGTGGAGGTTGGCGCGGACGGGGATAGGTTGTCATCATAACCTCCCACCGCCAGCATTACATCCCGAGGGGACTTTAGCACAAGCTAGGTAATCCCGCCCAAACACCAGCACACACCCACAAATCCACACACAAGAGACGCACACAAAACAGCGTGTGCACAGCAGGCACACAAACCACACATGCACACAGAGACAGGCACGCAATCCACTGTATTCGCAAGAACGCACAAACACACACACAGCAGAGACACAGACAAGCAAACCCACAGAGAGTCCCACAAAAATATCCATGCACACAAACACACACATCTGTGCGTGCAAGCACACACGTGAGTACACACATTCAAACACACACGCACAAATGCACCCTTTTCCACATAACCACAAAAAGATGCCTAGATACACACAGAATAACCACAGAGATCCCTGGAAAGTCACTTTGCATCTGAAGACAGAGAGATAGGACGGGACTAGCCAAAGATCACATAGAAACCCCACTAAGAAAGAACATACACACATGAAAATGCACGTATGTACCCAAATACACACTAGCATGGGCATCTCGCCCAGCACACATGCACATAAACACCCACAATAACGCACACACAAACACACATTAACATGTGCATCTAGCCCAGCACACATGCACATAAACAACACCTACAAGAACACACACATGCATACCCATACACACTAGCATGTACATCTACATGTATACTTATGGACATGCACATCAACAATACCCACAATAACACACACACTAGCATGCGCATCTAGCCCAGCAGACACGCACATAAACAACCCCCATAATAACACATACAAATGCACATACGCATGCACACACATTAACAGGTACAGCTACATAAACACCCACAATAACACATGTACAAATGCATGCACACACTAACATGTTCCTCTAGCCCAGCACACACAAACAGCGACACACACATATATACGCAAACACACACTAACACCACACCTGCACACAAACACCCACAATGTGCCTATAAGGCGCACAGGCTGGTAGACAAACACACATGCACACACACTCCCCAGCCAGTGCCTGCACATGCCGCTGCGGACAGTCACACACAAACACGTGTGTGCACACACAAGGGACAGCACTGTGGCAAGTGCTTTGAACTGCCAACCCTCGCCCTTGGCCTCTTCACCCAGAGGGCCTTGCCCCGGGCTGTGAGTCCCTCTGCACCTAATCTCGCCGCACTCTGCCCTGGACTCAGCTTACCCCCTGGGCTGGCAGGGCCTGACTGACAGGGCCTCCCACGGGGCGGGGGCTGCAGAGACGCCAGGAAGAGGCACAGGCCTGGGGAAAGTACCGTAGGGGGAGGCTGCAAAAATTGGGGGCCTGGCATTGACCCTAGAGCAGAGGGAGTGGGGGGGGGCCAGGACTCCTGGGTTCTGGCCCCAGCCCTGGGAGGGAAGTGGGGGCTAGTGGTTAAGGCGTGGGGGGTAGGGAGCCACGACTCCTGGGTTCTTTCCCTGACCCTGGGAGAGGAGGGGGGGGCAGGGACTCCTGGGTTCTAGCCCCAGCCCTGGGAGGGAAGTGGGGGCTAGTGGTTAAGGCGTGGGGGGTAGGGAGCCACGACTCCTGGGTTCTTTCCCTGACCCTGGGAGAGGAGGGGGGGGCAGGGACTCCTGGGTTCTAGCCCCAGCCCTGGGAGGGAAGTGGGGGCTAGTGGTTAAGGCGTGGGGGGTAGGGAGCCACGACTCCTGGGTTCTTTCCCTGACCCTGGGAGAGGAGGGGGGGGCAGGGACTCCTGGGTTCTAGCCCCAGCCCTGGGAGGGAAGTGGGGGCTAGTGGTTAAGGCGTGGGGGGTAGGGAGCCACGACTCCTGGGTTCTTTCCCCAGTCCTGGGAGGGAAGTGGGGGCTAGTGGTTAGAGCAGGCAGGTAGGGAGCAACAACTCCTGGGTTCTTTCCCTGACCCTGGGAGAGGAGGGGGGGTCAGGGACTCCTGGGTTCTAGCCCCAGCCCTGGGAGGGAAGTGGGGGCTAGTGGTTAGAGCGTGGGGGGTAGGGAGCCATGATTCTTGGGTTCTTTCCCCAGCCCTGGGAGGGAAGTGGGGGCTAGTGGTTAGAGCAGGAGGGCTCCTGGGTTCTTGTCCCAGCTCTGGGAAGGCCGGGGGCGTTGGGTGAGTTAGAGTAGGTGGCACAGAAGAGCTGCCCTGCAAGAATCAGGCTCAGAATCGTGGGACACCCACATCCCTGCCAGGTTTCCCGGAGAGTGCACTTAGTTGGTGCTGGCAGCCAACCATGCGTCTGTGACCTACACACACCCACAGCTGAGTGCCTGCCTCCCCAACGGCAGGGCGCTGATTTACAGAGCACCCCAGGGAGCTGGGAAGGGAGCTGGGAAGGAGGTGCAGCCTGGGCCCTACTCTGCAACCCCCGTGAAAACCATCTGGGAGTTCTGGTGCCCAGTCCCACTTCTCTGACCACTAGACCCCACTCCCCTCCCAGAGCCAGGAGTCCTGGTTGCCAGCCATGTGCCCTGTCATCTGAGCGCTTGGGCGGCCACCCAAGAGCGATTCAGGTGCAGCTGATTACTAGAGGGTCTACAGTCGGCAGCATGTGTTTCTATTGATGGTGCACATCCGCACATACCTCGGTGCACAGAACAAAATGCATTCTGCATCAGGATGGAAATAATTAGAGAGAGCCTTCATTCTGAGCCCTAACCACTAGCCCCCACAGAACTGGGGTTAGAACCCAGGAGTTCAGGGAGCGAACACAGGAAGCAAGCTGCCTAGTCTCCTGCTGTAACCACTAGTGCCCACAGCCTTCCGAGAGCCATACTAGAATCCAGGAGTCCTGGCTCCCTGCCCCTTGCTCTAACCACTAGCTCCTGCTCCTCTCCCCGAACCAGGGAGAGAATCCTGGCTCCCATCCCTCTGCTCTAGCTACTGCACCAAGCTGAGATACAAGACCCACCCCCCCAAAGGCAGTGAAATTGGGGGAAACCCGGTACCAGAGTCCCTGCCAGCGTGGGCTGCCCCCCGGCTGCAGGACCCAGCCCGGGCACAGCACCCCTCCCCCCCCACTCACCCAGGCTGGTCAGCAGCACGGTGGCCCCGCAGGAGCGGAGCGAGTGCAACAGGGAGGCGGCACGGAGGTGGCTGTTGAGGCAGGCCATGGCGCAGCCGATCTTGGCCAGCCCCAGCCAGACCCACAGGTAGGCGGGCACGTTGGGCAGGAACACGGCCACCGCCTCCCCTTCCCGCAGCCCCAGGTCCCGCAGGGCCCGAGCCACCTGGCTGCTGCGCCGGTCGATGTCCCGGTAGGTGTAGACCTGCTCCCCGAAGAGCAGCAGGGCTTTCTCCGGATGGCTCCGCGCCTTCTCCAGGAAGCTGTCGAGCAGGGTGAGGGGGGGGCGGCGCTGGAGCCGCCAGAGCCCCCTCAAGCCCTGGTAGATGACGAGGGTGGAGGTGACCAAGTCCTGCCACCAGTAGGGCCACAGGCAGGTCCCCAGCAGGGGCAGCAGGAGAAGCAGCCCTGCCAGGGCAGTGCACAGCACAAGCATGGTTGGGCTGGGCTCTGGCAGCCGGGCGCGCTGCGGCGCGGGTGTAGGAGCCGGGGGCAGGGGGTGGGAGTGCCCGGCCTCCCCTCCCCAGGAGCCTGATTCGAGGAGGCCCGGCGGGGAGCAGGAGAGGGGGCAGTGCTACCAAAGTCCCTTGGGCTGATGGCTCCTGGCCCGGGGCGTCCGGGAGCAGTGTGGGGCCGGGGCACGCTGCAGGGCGCTCTCCCGCCAGCGGGGGCAGCCGGGACACGGGCCCAGGGGGCAAGGGGAAGAGGGCTCCCAGCGGGCCAGCGAGTGCGGACCCAGGGGCCTCGCAGCGTCCAGTAGGAGTGGGCAGCAGGGAGAGGGTCAAGCTTCATTTCGCACACAAACCCCCCCAACACAACTACACAACCTCCTGCAAATCCTCCTTTGCACACACCCCCAATACAACTACACAACCTCCCGCAAATCCTCCTTTGCACACACACACAACTACACAACCTCCCCTCCCGCAAATCCTCCTTTGCACACACCCCCAATACAACTACACAACCTCCCGCAAATCCTCCTTTGCACACACCCCCAATACAACTACACAACCTCCCGCAAATCCTCCTTTGCACACACCCCCAATACAACTACACAACCTCCCGCAAATCCTCCTTTGCACACACCCCCAATACAACTACACAACCTCCCGCAAATCCTCCTTTGCACACACCCCCAATACAACTACACAACCTCCCGCAAATCCTCCTTTGCACATACCCCCAATACAACTACACAACCTTCCACAAATCCTCCTTTGCACACACCCCCAACACAACTACACAGCCTCCTGCAAATCCTCCTTTGTGCACACACACACCCAACACAACTACACAACCTCCTGTTGTACCTCGGTGTTCTGTACCTCAGTACCTTCTGTGGTCTGAACTGTCGGTGTCAGCGTTGTCTGGTCTGGGTCGTCCTGGCGCGCTCCTGACAGGACCTCTACTCCGTCGGTGATGATAAACTTTCGGCTGCGTGCCTAACAATCGGTACTCCCTTTATCTAGAGGGTTAGACCCCCTGCACCTGGGTAAACACAAGAGATCTCTGAGAGGCCCCAGAAACGACAGAGGCAGACAAGGTTTGAAATCAATCGAGCAGGTTTATTGTCAAATGCGAAGCTCTACCAGTTGGTAACAGAGATCAGTCCAATGTGACACCACTGGGCACTATGGCCCGCGTTGACAAGGTACCAACACCGGGCAGGCCTGTTGCCATGTAACAGATATTAACAGCAGTTAGTCAAAGTGAAGCTACTGTGCACTCTGTAAGTTTAGGCAATGACACCTGCCGTTCAGGCGCCTAGTGCGCCTCCTAAGGGCAGCCAGAGAGCACCCTTTGCGGTGTCCTTTTATAGACAGGTACAAACAACTGACATCACTTCTTTACATACCGGGTTACCACCCTCTGTTGCCTAGTTACCACCCCTCACCTTACGGAAGGAGGGTTTACTTACTATCCTTCATGCTGTCAATCCCGACCTGGTCCTGAACCTAGGTCGGTATGTGCCTAGCTCCTAGGGAGTTCTTGTACCAAGACATTTCTTATTAAGATGTTCCGCTACTCCCCTTTGGCTCACAGTCTGTACCCAGGGCCTCCCTGTGTCCTTCCATGCTTGACCTAACTTGCACAATCGCACAGTTCTCAGTAGGGCCTCTTTCTTGGCTCCTGTGTTCCTGAACCAAAGTCTTGCTCACTGGATTGCAGGCCTGTTGGGCTACAGCTACCTTGGCACGATCTTGCGGCCGCTTTTGCGCAAAACTTGCTGCCTGTCCACACCGGCCGCGAGTTCTTGTGCAAGTGCACTGACGTTCTGACGTGTGAAATCAGGGCTTCTCGCACCAGAACTCTGATGCTCCCGCTCAGGAAGAAGCCCCCTTGCACAAATGTCCTTGCTCAAGAGGCCAGTGTAGACAGGCAACATGAATTTCTTGTGCAAGAAAGCCCGATGGCTACGGGAGAGGTAGCACCCCAGTGATCATCGGTGCCAGTCGATACCAGCAGCCGCCCCCTCGTCACCAGGCCCAGCGAGGCAGAGGGCGACCCAGAGCTGCCCAGTGAGTCGGGGGAGGAGGAGGAGGACCAGGCAGCAGCTTCACCCTCCAGCTCGAGATCCTCTCAGGCAGCCCAGACGTCTCCCGTGTGTCATCGGAGGCCGGGGAAGGATCCACTGGTGAGTGTTTCACTTTGCACTCACAAGGGCGGGGGGGAGCCAGGCGCCCGGGGCGGGGGGAGGAGGAGGGAGCATCACTCAGGCAGCGTGAGCTGCACGCTGTGTACCAATACCAGGATGCAGCATGTGCAACCACGTGCAGCCTGGTGACCGAGAGGCATGTGGCTGTGGCAGGCAGCTCCAGGGCACGCCTGGGACCATGCTGCTCGCACATAGCAGGACCGGGGGGAAGGATGGATGCTGGCTGGAACCAGCCAGGGCCCCAGGGGCTCAGGCCAGAGCCCACACCCCCCGAAGGGCGCAGCACGCAGAACGGCACTCTGCTCCATGCCTGGGCTGTGCGGCACAGCCAGCTGCTCCTGGGAAAACTGCAGCGACACAGCCCTGTGAACGTGGCCCCCACTAAGCCCCTCGCCTGCTCCCGGCACCTTGGCTGCCCCCCGAGGGAAGTCCCCACTGCGGCCACACATGTCCCTGGGCTATATGTGTGAGGGCTAGCGGGAGGGGGAGGGAGAAAGCGCTCGGGCCAGCCCTAGGGCCACCTGAGTTTCGCTGCAAGGCTGGTACACTCCCCAGTCACCCCGGTTCCGTCCAGGAGACATCCACGTGATGGGGATCTGGGAGCCCAGGCCACGTTTGCCAGATGTGCTCCCAGGCACCGTGTGGGGATTCATCTTGCTCCCTGTCAAACACCATTGATTAACCCAAAGCCTCACAGCCTCCACCAGCAGGGAGTTCCACAGGTTAACACAACACCAGCTGACACGCTCCCCCCCCCCCCCCCCCACCGGGCGCAGA